GGTTCCACTCACTTTCTATGATAATTATAACTAACACTGACTGATAAGAGGTCTCGAGAGTGAGGAAAATTTGAGGAGACTCCAAAGAGTGCCAGTTGAGCACAAATTACTTCGCCAATGTCAAGTAGGATGGAGAAGACACGAAGAAGATTGGAAGTAAAATTTATTCATTTATATAACAGATTAGGAGTACATTTACTCGGCTGAATTGTTTAGATCGCTTTAATGTTAGTTCGGGCGTTCCGTTATCTTATTTAATTTTTAAAGACGTAACATTCAAACAGACAGAAACAGAGGCAGTGGTAGCCCACACGCTCGCTGGGGAAACCGAGTGAAGCGAGTTCAAATACCGGGTCTCGCAAGTCTGATATTTTCATGTGCGAATCATTTCCAACATGATTACCACTTGTTTTAACGGTGAAGGAAAACATCGTAAGGACACCTGCATATTTGATTTTAAGGTTCTCATCTAGCAAGTTTTCAAACGACTTGTGAAGTACGTCAACCCGCACTTGGCCAGCGTGGTGGACTCTCTCGTACTGAAGGGAGGCCCGTGCCCAGCAGTGTGACGTTAAAAAGGACTGAATACATACATACAACATTCAAACTAGCCATGGGTAAAAGCCAGTATAGTAAAAATATACATTTGTATAACAAATGAGGTCATCAGCCTCGAAGGAATTAAAAAAAAATCTATATTGTTATCACAAATCGTACTTTATCTGGGGTCAGGATCAGTACCTTCCGGATTCTTATCAAAATCAGTTGTTGCTTTATCACATGAACGATAACAATACATGTGTGATAATTGCAAAGCTATTGTTGGATGTTTCGTAATCCTCCAAAGACAGCCTTACGACAGACTTTCCAAGGCTACTTCGAACACGTATCAATACAAACGATGAGCAATTAAACATTTGCTAGAGAATCTATTATTTCTTTAATTAGTTATAATATTCATATTCACGGCTGTGCTTGGCGTGGCTTTCAATAAAATGAATTGTTCGCTCAATGTTCACTCAATATAGCTTAATAATAAATACATAAGGTTATAATATAACCAGTACTGTTGTACAATAACGTTACATCAATACTGTAATTGGGTATCAATCAATATTAATGAACTCAACTCTTTGCGTCACGTAGAATTACTACTGTGTTTCATTAGGATACAAGAAGCTGCTTGTAGGTGAAATATTAACAATTAATATACATAATTTAAATAAATGTTTTTTTTCAATAACACCCATGTGTCTAGTGGGAATGGAATCGAATGTTATACATATGTTGAATACGAAAAATAAAACATCAACACATCAAACACATACTATAAGCATTTCAAAGATGTATCCAAGAATAGAGATAAATTAAATAAAATTATACTAAATTGCATAAAACATAAATCTATACCTACTAATATTATAAAAAGGTAAAGTTTGTGAGTTTGTGACGATGTAGGGGGTAATCTCTGGAAACCGATTTAGATGACATTTGGTAAGAAGATAGGTTGAGGCCCTAGGAAGGACATAGGATACTTTTTATCCCGGAAATCATCCCTTAATAGAGCGAAAATGGGGATGAAGTTTGTATTGAGAAGTAAGCTAGGGACGAATCCGAGCGGAACGATGGTGAATCGCTAGTAAACTATACATTTACTAGATATTCTGTTAATTAAGTCCTTCGTAGTAAGCCTACCTCATAGTATGCAAGTAAATAATTAAGTATTAATAAACATTACTAAATTAAACATGCGTAAACAATAGTTTTAAAGGTCAGCATCAGAACTCCTACATAGACAAATACTTCTTTATGAATGAGAATGGAACTTTTAATATTTTTCAGTTGAGGCCAACGCTCCGCGCGTGGGTAAACTCACATTATGACGCCCACCTATTTTCAGCCAAGCTATATTTAAAACAGTTTTCATGATACTATCATCAATCTTCGACATGTTGTTTCTTAACGAATCTACAATATTATTTTCTATTAAAAATCGTTTAATAATTACTTTTAACCAGTTATTTTAAGAAAATACTAGTTTTATTGTAATTAAGCAGATAGCACTATGTATTTGTAATATTAATAGAATTTTATTGCGCAATATGGAAAATTTCTTACTCGAATGCATTAAAAATTAGTACTAAATATCACAACAGTCATTTCACGGTCCATTTTCTTTCAGCATAACTACTTTTATGATACATATGTTCACTTTTATTACATAACCTCAGGCTTGGCAGATATCATAGGATTATGTACAAGAATTAATCTTTATATTTTTTAACTTTATATTATAATATAATCTCGTTATAATATAAAAACTTAAAAAAACCGTATTCCAGAATAAAATGTAAAAAATAACTAAACGGGGGTTTTCATTTAGAATAGATATATAATCAGATATTTTCGAAGTCGGTGCCAGCCGACAATATTTTAAGATATGAATATCTATTAGGTAAATATGATTTGGTATGAACTCTAATTGTAGTTAAAATATTATACATCAATTTGTGATGTATTTTAGGTATCGAAATATATTAGATTTGACTCGCATCGTATCCGACGAATTGAGTACCTCATCCTTTTTTTGGAAGTTGGGTAAAAATAGTTGAAAGTCCAAGATCTTACATTACTAAAAAATCTTTTAAGCATTTTTATTATAATTAAAAATTACTAAATCAGCAAATAATACTTATACAATTTTTATGATTTCTAACTCATACGAACATATTTTGCACACTATATATCTATAACCTATAATTCTTAAACATAAACTATTGCTGAGGATCACGCGTGGTACCATTGAGGCATCAGCAAAGCGAGACCGAGTCCTTAAATTCTGATTGATTATTATTAATATATTGTTGTCAGTAATTAAAAATTCTCGGTAAAATCAATATAGTAAAAAATAATTTAAAAAATTTAAAGAAGTAATCTTTACTATTTATATTTAACAAATACCATTTAAAAAAAAATGTTATTTTCCATTTATAAGATTTTACCGGTAGATAAGAAAATTAAATATTTAATATGATTGAAGCATTGGGTAATGCAAAGATGAATATAAGTAAAAGTCAAAAATAAATATAATAAGCGAAGTATAAAAGAAGAGAACAAATTACGATGGTAAATTTCAAAATTTATGATATACATTGGTACCTTAAAATAAGTAAACTATACTTAAAATCATAATCTGAGCAATTTGTTTTTCAATGAAAAAAAGAGTCGCTCATCGAGAAACAAATCCATAATGCAGATAGGTATATGTCGCTTCGCTCGGGTTCGTTTCTAGCATGATTCCGCATACAAACCTTCATCCCCCATTTTCACCCCCTTAAGGAATGATATCCGGGATAAAAAGCATCATGTGTCCTTCCCAGGGTCTCAAACTATCTTCTTACAAAATTTCATCTAAATCGGTTTAGTCGATCCAGAGATTCCTATACCTACAACGTCAAAAACTCACAAAGTTTACCTCTTTATAATATTAGTATAGATTTACGATTATACTTTGTACTTAATTTGTAAAGTAGATATTATCATCTATACATATAAAAAAATTCTAACTAAGTCGAATCTGTACATTAAATATTTTTTGGAAAATCTTATTGAAATAGGCATTATTATCGATACAGAGGCCGAATCTATATTTTTTAGAATTTTTGTCTGTCTGTCTGTGATTTTGTCTTTTTTTTTATTGTCTGGGATTTTGATGAAATTTGATATGGTCATAGCTGGTTATCCGGGTAGGTATATAGGATACTTTTTACCGCGGGAAAATATCTCAATTCGGAGAAAAAATACAAAAACTGGTTAGAATAAAACCACGATGATACTATATATATTTTAGCAAGGTAACTTACTAAATAAGGCTAAAATTATTAAAAATAGCTTATCTTGAAAAAAATAAAAATAGCACTATTTTATTTGGTTTTTGGTGCTTGCTATTTTTTTATTTTAATGCTAGCTATTTTGTAAGAACGAGCGCGTCTCTCCATTACGCGTGTTTTGTGAAATTAATAACTTAAATTAATAAAAAAATATGTAAAAAAGACTGCAACAACAACTTAATGAGGACGTATATAGGTATTATTATCATGAAATCATAAATGCGCTTTCGTGCATATTTTCTCTGTAACAGGTAAAGCTTTAACCACTTTCCTTAACCATCAACATCAATGCCGAGAAAACGTATACTTATTAAATTATTATACTATGTAATAACCGTTAAGGCTATCTAATTTTTTTTTTCAGCTCTTATTTAAGTTTTAATTTGATATAATATAAATAAAATATAACTTTGCAAAATACATACAAGTTCCATATAAATAAATAAAAAAATACTAACAATATTCAGTCGCAGACGCAGACAGAGTATGTTAATTTATAACGATTATGTAAATTTAACAATTTAACGAAGACGTAAAATTAAGGAAGTGAGCAGTACATCATGACTATTTGAATATATTATAGTATTTTTACAGTTTATTTTAACAATTTTATATATCTTCTTTAAAAATATTATGTAATATCTTGACTGATTGCCTAATTCTTTAACGCCCAGACGAAGTTAACGAACCTAATAAGCTTAGAATTTGAAAGCTTAGTCTTGTTTTAGAAGGACATGGACAACGAGCTATGAGAAAGAAGAAAGGTTTTTAAAAAGCAATAAAAAATTTCGGCTTTTGGCTTTTAGTAAAAAAAAAACTATCGGGTGAAGCCGGGTAAGTAAGTGTTATATTTATGTAATAAATTTTAAACCGATTTTCTTAGGCAAGTGTTGCGTGTCACGTCGACGACAATCGTTGAAATAGTACGCAACTACATATAGTGAAACTGAAAGTAAAAGTATGCCAAGAAAATGTAATTGCATACAATACATATTAAATATGTAGTTTCAATTGATCGGTGACCGCAAAATCATCAATTATTAGTGGGAAAAGTGTACGATTCGTTTCATACAGTTATATTTTATTAAAAACATGATGGCTCTTTCTTACCTTATCGAAAGTAATAACTGGTGTTGCCGATCCTATTGTACCATCTTTTTTCTTCTCGATCTTATAAACGACGATGTTATTGTCCCTCACTGTGTGCACAACGAAGGCTTTTGAATCTGGACTCCAAGCAACATGTGATGCGTAATCAAACGCGATGTTTACCCGCAAAGTCTTGTGCTCTTTCACGGTCAGATCACGTATGTCCCAAAGGATCACTGAGCCATCTGTCAAATAAAACAGAAAAGTTAATTAAATAATCTAACCCAATAAAAGCAAAAAATATTGATAGCTGACGAATTTTCATTGTATGCTAGAAGTGGCCCTAAAGATTGTAATTTAAATCTTTGAATATGTATTAGAAATCAAAAACTGTTCATTTTTTTGAATATAATAGGTACATATTTACTAAAGACACGTTCGTCAATGTATAAGTGATCTTGTGATCTTCACCTCCAGTGTAAAATTAAATTGAAAAGCTCGAGACTCTTCCCCTTAAATGTTATTATTAAATTTTATTGCGTCGCCACACGGTAAGATGTTTGAAGTCTGAAGGTGAAATTGTGTTAATCTCTATCAGAGAATTTTATATTAGTTCTCACAATGCCAGGACGTCTGCGGCCATGACTGCTACTCATTTCATTGTCAACTTCATTTTGACTCATACGAGGGCGTAGGCAGACATTTCTCACCCACACATTGGTGGGCTATAGCCATAACGTAAAATTTATTTAAAAAAAAATCGAGAAAGAACAAAATTACACGCCAGATATATATTATATTGAAGATTACCAGTTAAAGGAAAACGTTGTCTAAAATGCAAAACGTCTAACAATGCAAGACGTAGGTAACGTTAACTGTATCCGTCTTTTGTTTCGTCTTCGCCAGGCGTGTAATCTTTTAGTAACTTTCAAAATCAGGTAGCGTCATAAAACGTGAAGTGAAAAAAAGAATTAACTCTACTAAATTTTTGAAACCCAAAAACCGCGCTAGTTGTACAAAATTTGATTATAATAGATAATCCTACTCCTTCGGTAGTGTAAGTATTAGAAAACAAATATAAAGCGATCAGTAAAATAAGTAATGTTAAGCGTGCAGCAATGCGGGAACCGACAAAAGGTCATCAGAGCAATGAGATATCGAAACTGAGTCACTATACCAAGGCCTTTGGATTTCAGGCTGGTTACAAACGCAACTTTTAGCAATCTCGTGGTGGTCTGATGGCAGTAACTAATCACTCAAGCATGTAAGCCCGTTACAAGAAATATGGATTCGTTTAAATATATTATCATTATATACGTACATCGTAGCAATCAAGCGCAATAAACTTATCGCTTGAACTTATGTCAAGGGAGCTTACTAGGCCTCGATCAACAAAGTATGATTTTTAGATAGATGACGTCCATATCATCAGTGTCAGCCGTGCCAGCTGTTTAACTGCTTAAAAGCTATTTATGTATTTACTAACTAGCGGCTCACTCTCACTTTGCTAGAGGTTAACGGTTAACGGTTAATATGGAATAGATAGACATATATTATATATATATATATATATATATATTATATATTACATAGGTGTTTTCTCGTAAGAATGAGAAGTGAATATATATCTGGTCTTTCGCTTTAAAAAGTAGCCTTTTGTCATTCTCCAGCCCTCCAACTAACTCCGCACAAGTCAATCCACCACTCCGTGTCGCCATGAAAGAAGGACAAACAAATAAACAAAGTCAAAGTCAAACTGTATATCGTAGAAAGAGAAAGCGTCAAATCTAAAAATGCATTCAAGTAGTTTATATTAATTATAAGTAGTAGTAGTCCAGTCAATAAAGAAAAAAACGGCGAAATCTACATAAAATAAAACAATTTCCGCGATATGGCTATTCGATAAAGGGGGCTTTTCTATGCCCAAAGCCAAATTTGAGGGGTCGCCCGAGGCGCTGGCGTCACTCTAGCAAAAACAAAAACGCATTTTATTCAATATGTCCAGAACGGCGTATCTCATATGTAAAAAAACGATAGAAATATTCTCTTTTAAATTAAATATTCTATCTTTTTTATTTAAAACTTTTTTTTTCTGAAATTGATATTTCTCGAGATAACGCGCTCGAAACGCACTTTCGCTATCTTCGTCGGTTCCTAACCTTTCACTTACATGCAATTTTATCTATTATCAAAGTTATATAAGATATATCTTATATAAAGGTATATAAGATAGATACATAGATATTTTAATTACCAACAACTTTTATTTAAAACGTTTTTTCCTATTCGCGCGTTTCGGCTGCTAAAGTGTTAAAAAAAATCTATTATTCATGTACATTGTACTTGCTTTGTTTATCCTACATTAGTATGTATTAGTGATATTGAATAAGTTATGTTTTAGTCCATGATTAAATATATTTGCATGTTTTTTGGATAACTAGATCAAAAACACTGGTTAGCATCAAATATTCACTGTAGTTAATTTTATTGATAAATGACTTTGTTAGTTTAATGAACTTCAATTTACTTACAAAGATGTAAACTCAAAAATTGTCTGAAGTTGAAAAATAAACAAAGAGACGTTGCAACTTTTGAAAAATAAACGTCTAATTATTTAAATTGGCAAAGTACCCAAAAAAAAAAACAACAAAATATTATTATTCAGTTAAATGCAAAGTTTCTACATTTTAAAAATACTATTTACATAACTATCAAGAAAAGCTGGCTGCCTCAGATCAAGTTATTTTATCAAATAATCGTTTTATACAGCTAAGTTTAATCATCAGAAAAAAAATTTTTTCTTATCGTATTATTTATTTATCTGTATCGATACTTATAAATGTAAAAAGTGAGGATGGATGGATGTTTGTTACTATTTCACGCCAGAACGGCTGAACGGATCTGAGGTTACTTTTTAACCCAGAAAAATGTACGGTTCTCGTAGGACAGATTTATTTTTGTCTACGGACGAACCCGAATCGAAGCGAGGGTGAGTCGCTAGTCTATACATATAATAAAATTGTAACTAAATCGAATCTGTACATTAAATATTTTTTGGAAAATCTATTTGAAATAGACATTATTATCGATACAGAGTCTAAATCTATAGTTTTTAGAATTTTTGTCTGTCTGTCTGTTACCGCATCACGAGAAAACTACAAGACTGATTTTGATGAAGTTTGGTATGATGATAGCTGGCTATCCGGGTCAACATATAGGATACTTTTTACCGCGGGAAAATATCTCATTTCTGAGAAAAAAATGCAAAAACTGCATTGCAAGAGTATACTATATGTAAAACATAAGAATTTGGTTTTTGGTCATCTGAACGTGTTCGGAGCCGCAGGCAATGCTAGTAAGCTATATAGCTGAACAATAGATACGTCTATATATAGATATGCCTCGGTGGTGTAGTGGCTAGCATGTACGGCTGCACACTCGGAAGTCCTGGGTTCGAGTCCCGGGTCGGGCCAAGTTTAGTTATTGAGTCTTTCTGTATACTAAGTCTCAGTAGCAGCCCAGAGTTGGGAAGTTGGCGGTGTTTCACCCCCGTGCCTCGGAGAGCACGTAAAGCCGTCGGTCCTGCGCCTTAACTCTCACTGGTCGTGTCGATTAGTCGTCCCACCGGAGTATGAGAGTGACAGGAATAGAGAGTGCACTTGTGTCTGCGCGTACACTTGTGCACTATAATATCTCCTGCGCAGTTGGCTAGTCTCAATGAGATTAGCCGCCGTAGCCGGAATCGGCTAGGAGAACATCATCTATATATAAATTTTAAAGATTTTGTGAGAAATAGAAATGTATCAGCAATTACTTAAATGTAAAGAAAATAAAAAAGATGCTTATGCAAAAACTTATATTCATCACGTAGACAAAAAGGATACATTCAGTAAATTTGAAAACGAGATGAAAAGTAGTGCAAAGAATAGACAGGCATTAAAAAAATCTTTTAAAAGTAACAAATGTAATGTTTTTTTCAATCCTGTATTAATATTTAATTAAACTTCGAGAACTAGATCACGTGACGGTTTATTTTTGTTTATACCTCTTACTTCCGTAGGTTACGTTTTGCTTTTGACGGTTAGTATTTCATACTAACCGTCAAAAGAATACATATGTATGATGAGTTTTATATTCATAATCCTTGAGAAATGATTAATACCCCATACAAACTTCCACCCCTTGACGCATGATTTCTGGGGTAAAAACTATCCTATGTCGGGTCGCATACCATCTTCATACAAATTTTTATCTAAATCGGTTCAGCCATTTAGTCGTGAGGCAACGAACGAACAACCAAACAAACACAGTTACTTTCGCATTTATAATATTAGCATGGATACTAAATACTTATAATTTCCTAATAAAAAAGAAAACCGATGTTTTACTTTTGCATTTATAAAATGATGTACACTTGAATAAAATCCTAATCCCCTGCAGTAAATTGTTTTCGAAAATATTATTACAAACTACGGAAATATAATTAAACATAACTATTGATTAGATATATTTGGTCTGAAATACTCGTAGTAATGACACTGTATCACAATTTAGACTATCTAAGTTTTTGCCAAAATTGGCAGACGATTAGATTATATCTAAAAATATTACGCCATTAAAATATTGATATTTGATTAAATTGAAGACTAATTAAAGCTACTCCAAATTGACCTCCTTCCTTATCTTTAGTTATATATATTCGTACTATAATTTTTTATCACCAGTCTTAATAGGTATTTAAGCTAATTTTGAGATATCTATCTTAAGCAAAAATGTTGCTTTCCCTAAGATATGTAGGTAAACATTGGCTGCAATATGAAGTTATATAATAATAATCACGCCGAATAATTTAAGTACTTTCCCCATTTCAAGCCTCGTAGCTTACCATGGAACTAAATGGTGCTAAGTGTTAATATGCTAACTCCTAACATATTTAATGTCCCATACTAACATGTTTTTGGTCTATCGCCTGTCTGTTAGGAACCTCTTATTTTACTAGGATATCTGTATCTCCGGTTTAAAAGAAACTTAACACTTTCGCTAGTATTATGTTTGTATGGTTTATTCATATTTCTATACACATATGATTTCTTTAATCATTATCATATAAACTTAAAATTCATGGTCATGGTTGAGACGAATTATCAATTTTGAATAATCTGATCAGTCGTTAGCTGTTTTTTGAATTTAATCGAATGGCAAAAACTACTTGAGCTGAATTATTTGCAACTAATTTTCATTGACCAATATAATGCCAAACCGTCTGTTTCATGTTACCATTCATTTTGTATAATAAATGATGCCTAATTTATAGGTTAGTAAAGAAATACGCATTTATATTCGCGTGTTGATATTCAGAAAGCGACACTATTGGAGAGTTTGACCTAGATGCATTAAGCATTCGAACTTCTAATCCGAGTCACAAAAATCTACAGTTACTTTATAAAGCTGATAGATACCACGCGTTTCTTTTTATGTCGCTAAATAAAACAATATTTATTATTAAATTAACGAATATTACATTTATCGTATATATAATATGGCTCAACGTGCGCGTTTAATTCTTTTAGTTCATTGGCCTTTTCAAGGGAACAAGGAAGTAATGCCGCCCCAACATATTATTATATGTATGTAATGATACGTGAATCTCCAATGGCCATGAGTTAGTGAGTAACTTAGCTACATAATCGTCATTTTAAATCATTGCTCAAGTTAGTTCAAGTATAATAGGCTCGACGATTTTTAAACACGACACACAATAAAAACCTGTCCATGTCAGTAACGTTTGTACCAAATTCAAGGTTTTGAAGATGATACTCGTGAACTTAAATTTGAGCATTTAAATATACTTATAAGTACCTAGTAGTTACTTTTATTAATTGTTTTATACAAATTTACTAAATGAGGATCTTACCAGCACAGTGTTTGATATTTACTAGGTTACGTCCGTCTAAAACATTTTACATAACCAGTTAGCCGTTAGCTATTATATTACAAATTAACGTTTCGATGTTCTAGGAGAGTCAATAGCAATATCAAGTCTCTTTTTTCAATATTCTATATCTTATGTGGATAAACTTTACTGTGTGACACAGTATCATGGTGTCTTGGTGGGGATCGAAGGCGTGTCGAAGTATGATGACGAAAGTCCTCACTCTGTGCAACGTATTGTGAAAGACTATAGACGCGGAGGCGCTCTTTACGGTTCCATGGTCAAACTCCCTCGCATGGTTTGCCTCTATGTCCAAATAAAGCTTAAGTTGGTGCTAAAATAAGCGTGTAATTTAAAAACCATTTAAAATTGTTTTGAAGGCTGTTAAAATTGAAAAAAAAAACATTTAATGTATTTCAATGCAATTGAACTTGCCTAAAAACAAAATGTAATTTAAAACAATTTACTCGTAGTACAATTATAGTACATAAAGAATATTAGAAATTGATATATGTATGTATTAGAAAACAAAACTATTTCGTATCTAATCGCAGTACTCTTTTAATTATACGCAGCATAATTATTAAATTAACAGGATTATACGTTATCAAATAACTAAACAAAATAATCAAATCCACAAGTCGAATAAACCTAGATAATTATATATGCATATCTATATTACTATAATGTTTGTAATAAGTAGTAGCTGTAGTAGTTACGAGTATTATACTTACTTCACATCATTTTGGGCATTGTAGCGCTGCGAGCGGTGACGTGGCGGCTATATAGTACAGGCATTCTCTTTCTTAGAAATATGGATGACTAACAATTACGATATTTGATATTGGAATCACTGCTTGTTTACATACAGCTGCAGTTATAGGGAAATCTCCTTATGAATTCTTTAATGATTAATTTAGTAATGAGTGATCGCTATTATTAAATTATAACATGGGCGTGCCAGATAAGATTGTAATAAAAAGAAATGACATCGAAATAAGTCCACAAATATTTATTGTTTCCCGTATCTAACAAGGAAATTATGTGCCCCCAATGATTGTATACGTTAGTGTTTATTAGATAGCATTTAACTGTGCGCTAAATCTCATTATCGTGAAATGTACGTAGTACATAGTAAAATGAGCACACGGTAGATAAAACATAAACTACTTAAGTCATATGAACATATATATATATATATATATATATATATATATATATATATATATATAATCATACAATATACCGTTTATACACCGTATGAATAATATATACATATTTATCTAAAAGCATTTTGGCTCATTTTGTTTTATTAAATAAAATATTTAAAATACTCTGCTATAAATGTATATCATTTCATTTGCAAAGTCATTAAGTATACTCATCTACATTAATTTCATCATTAGTTTATATAAGGGCATTATATAATCTCGCTAAGAATGTTCGTTCGCGGGCTATAATTGCACAACTCACGAGAGATTCCTTCAAACTCTACATTGTGTGATACGTTACGAATATGATTATTTAAAGTGTAACGGAACTATGTGACGAAATTTCTTGAAATATTATAAGCGGATGAACGGTTGACCGAGACGTCCTACTTAAAATCAGCAAGGTATTTAACTGACTCAGATGAAAAGAAAATAAAAAAACAACATACGTGGAAAGAGACAGTTAGTCATTTTGGCAGGGTAAAGATCGAACACATGATCATAACAAATTCTCGAAAGCAGATATATAGATAACAATGTTTATATATTTTGTAATCAGTAAGCGTGTGTCTAAAACTGAGTTGTGCTATATGATGTCATTTTCCTCTTCACTGAGGTTTGACCCAGACATTCATGAATCATAATCTTAACTTTAATTATACGACTCGTTGCTTGGAAAACCATGTAATCAATAAATAAATGGTTTCAATATGTCTAAAGTGTTCTACCGTGCACAAAAACACAATTTTCCCTATTTAATACAAAAGCATAGTAAACTAGAGTATTTGTAAACCCCACTTACCCTAAGCGCTGTGTGTATATTAACAATCGCCAGTTATGTAGCAGTGAAATCCAGCGCAGTGAAAGTGTTCTATCATATGACGGAGGTATAAAATCGTATGAGGTCTGCATTAATCATGGCATACTTTCTTTATTATTTGACCGTTGTAAACAAATAACACAAGTTATTCTACTGTTATGGCTCTGTAAATGTTTACTTTAGCATTTGGCATAAAATATTTGACTTACTTTAATTATTCTTCAGTTTAAATACTTAATACTTTGTTGAGGATAAAGAAAACTACGAAATAGAAAAATATATCACGTTTATTGCTAATTGGCAATTCGAAGGCACATACACAGTACGCGCACTCCGTCAACGTAATAAATAAAAAATCACTTGAGAATCGTCCATAAAACATATCGATAGTGACTCTGACATTTGAGAGAAAAATCGTTAACATTTATCATTTGAAATTCAGGCGGAACTAATTAAAGGATCATATGGTTGCAAAATAGGGAGCTTATTCGATACGCGAGATCGTTGCGCACGCTCTTCGTGCACTTTGAGTAGAACAAGATCCATTGCTGCACGGGCATCTTCGAGTGGTGAATGACCGGAACTGCTTCTCTGTACGCTTCTTCCGAGCAATTCTTCAGATAAAGCACGCAAAGACCGTCTCAATGGGAAGCCTCGGGAATGCGGATACAAAGCACTCGTATCAACCACTGCCCCATGTAATAACTTTAATGATCTTAAATCGTTTTCCAATGCATGTCCAATTAAAATCGTGTCACTTCCAACGAATCCTAATATATCATTCTGTACATCTCTCAGCGTCTTAGTCGCGCGCGCCAAGTCGCGCGGCCTGATGCCTGAGAAGCGAGTGTTGTGATCGACAACAGGTGAACTAGGTTTCACTAGAGATCTGTATACGAGTCGTCCGTCAGCTGCTATCACCGCCACGCTGGCCAGTTCCAATCCTGCTGTTGTATAACACATCTCTGTATCAATAGCGTAGACACCACCGCGAGGTGATCGTGCACGCACATACCCTTCGAGGGGTCCATTCATGCCAGGCTTAGTTCCACTCCAAACGTGAAATCGAGACGTGCTGCAACCTTTAGATCCCAACGGTGCATTACAGCAAGTATGTCGTGAGTCGCCACTAATACGACCCCAGTGATAGACGCAAGATTCTTCTACCACATATTCACCTTCGCGAGTCATTCGAAACATTTTATCACAACGCGCACACAAATGTTCCACTGCATCCGCTTCTTCATCACTTTCAGAACGCGGGGTTGAGCCCCACGATCCTCGTCCACTGTCACTTTGAGAGCCGCCGGGGACGAACTCTGGCGCGTTCGGGTCGAATGACTTAAACTGTAAGGGTCTAGGCCGTGGCGGTGGATTGATGTATACCACGGCCTTCGACGAGTTGGGCTCTATCTCTAAAGGATAGCCCAGGGCCCACATCCGCTTGGGCGAGAGCAGATGCGAGCGAAGTGCTTCTACTAGTTCTTCGGTGGAGATCCTCTGCGGCGTCGACGGCGTCGGCGGCGCGGCCGGGGGGCGGCGTCGATCGCGCGCTCTGCGCCGGCGTGCTGCAGCGCCGGCAGGGTCCACCGCCGCGTTGGTCTCTTGATAAAACCAATCGTGCCAATGAGTACAAAATTGCATGTTTCTTGTTGGGCTTGTATACACATAGAGTCGAGAGAGCGAGCGCGGAGCCGAAATCGGTAAATACGTGCAATCGCGCGCGCGGGCGCTATACTAATGGCGCGCTGGTGGGGCAACCCACGCTTTATACGTCACCTAGGTAGCGCGCGTTCGTTAACGGGACATGCCAATCGACCGGCCTATTCTCATTTTTCTAAACAATAATAAATACATACTACTTTCTGTGAAAATATAAGTAAAAAGCACTAAACCTATTGTCATACTATAACCAGTATCATATAATCTATTGGTTATAGAAATATCAACGTTGATATCTTTGTTTACTTGCATCAGCTGATTTGTAACGTTTATCATTTACGCAAGTTCTTAATATAGAGTAACACAAAGTTCCCTGTTCACTTTGCAGGAATTGTTTTTTTATTCCTATGCATAAATATGAATTTAATATAAAAACTACGTGATAGCACTTAATAATAAGTACTTGTTGTTAATATTTGCCTTGGCCTAGAGCCTTGAATACCATGTAAAAGATAATAAGCAAAATAATATAGAATTGTTTAGAATTTTATAAGATAGACATACTGTCGATTTAAAAATATTTTTTTATTCAAACAATATTATAGTAATAACTAGCGACTCACCCTCACTTCGCTTGGGTTCGTCTTTGGGTACGTCTTAACGGTTAGTATGAATATAATATGTATGTATTATACATATAAACCTTCCTCTTGATTTACTCTATCTATTACTAAAAACTGTGTTAAAATGCGTTTCGTAGATTAAAAGATCTAAGCGTACAAACAACGGTAGCGACTTTGTTTTATCTTATGTAGGTAATAGATATTATGATTTGAAATCACTTCATTTTAAAAATATAAATGTTTTTATTAAGATAATAGTCAGCTGATTGATAATAATCTTTATTTTTGATAAGGAATAAAATAATTATTGACAGCATTAATATTCGACTGTCTATCACAGGAGATATTATTAGTATTTCTAATGAAAACATAGCAAGGAAATAATTTTAACATCTTAAAATACATATTTCTTCCACATACTTGCACCGACATTGGACGAAAGGACGGACATTGCCCTGAGACTAATGGAATTTATTGAACGATTTGAATTCTTAATAATTTTTGTCGAATAAACTTTTTTTTTTAATATTTATTTGGAATTTAAATATATAAACAATAAAAAAATATACTTCAAAACTGCGCAATTTATTCTATAAACAAAGAATTTATTGAAATACGGTTTGATGCACGTCCAGGAAAAAGAGACACGTTTCTTGATGAGTTCAACGTCATCCAAAATCTGTGCGTCAACTTTTAATATCAATATTACAATTATATTATTGCGTATTATATTATATAACGTTCGTCAAATTTGATATTAGTCACGTTAACTCGTCAAAAAGTTTTGATTCCTTATAGTTAAAACCTTCGAGCGAATATCTTTTAAGTTTTAAGCGACCTACTTTTTATTTCTATAATCAAGTGATAATCAAGATACGTAAATATTTATTATCTTTACTTATCCATAGGAATATTTTTAAATATATATATTTAATCTTATAACAACAATATCATAATAAAAACCGATAATATTAAAAACGAACCCTCATAAACTATAATGCATAAATATATGAAACAAGTGTAATAAATGTCTAATATGAAGTATTGCGATATATACGAGATAACTATGCTTAAAATACAGAAATTAACATACATATATTAAAGGACCACAACAAAATTTTAAGAGACCTTTTTTAGAGTTCATCGAACGGCCATGGAGAATTTAACTCAATAAAGTGTAAGTTAAATGTTCAATGAACCGTACTGCGTAGCAAAGCGATACGTTGGATGTGATTCGCGTAATGTGTATCGCTGGGATACAGTCAATGAGAGTTTGCCTGTGTCGACACCAGGCACGTAGCATCCTATTCGCTTGTGCAAAAGATGCGCGTGTGTGTGGCGATTGTTTGTATACAGAAGCGCGTGTAGGCGCGGCGCTGGTCGGTGACTCCGGCGATAACCTTCGAATCGATGTCAGAGCACACATCGAGTCGCCGAACGGTATCCTATACGACGACGCGGACGGGGCCGATCAACTAACACGACGACATAAATCTTCATTGGAACATCTTCATTTGCCTAAGAATGCGAATTTTAGACCGATTATATTACTCATATATGGAAGTAAAAAAACTTTCGTGAACTTCTGATAAAACTATATAATTCAATTAACATCGTATTCAATAAAGTGAATAACTGAAAAATTAAACAATCATATTGTTTGCGTATTTATATAAATAAACGTATATAATTGTAATAGGTTTTTACAAAGTTGCTTAAACATTTTATTAATTTAATGAAACAGTTGTAACTGCATAAAATACCATTATTGCTGTGCAGTTTTTATTGGTAATAGGTAATACGGGTCAAAAAAGTCTAGTTAGGAACCTAGCAATGTAATCATTATATATAAAATAGTTTACAGACCTAGTTATCTAACTATGAGTAATTAACTAATAAATGCTCATTAAGTCAATGACTTTCTTATAAAAACATTGCTTAATGAATCATTAACATTAAACATGATTCTTTGTTTTGGATAAAATTATAATGAAAAACAAAAAAGGTTTGCTATAGAAATAATATCCGATTCAGATGTTCGCAACAATCGCGGTCAGTAGGCCACGGCTAGCAAATAGTAATACCGGAACATTCAAAATCAACTATGTTTGTATATTTAAAATAAAGCGGAAACCGAATATACAGACATACATAATATATTAACTAGTTTATTTCATTCAATAAATCGGTTTGCTAAAAATCATTATTTTTATTAAAATATAAAATGATTCTTTTTTATTAATTACAGAAATATTCATTCTTAATAGAAGTTAAGGTTGAAGTGTAAGCAAAATATTTTGGTGAAAGTTGTTCATGCCATCAATGGCCCAGTCACAAAACTGACCACCATCACGTTTCGCGATTACAAGTAGGTCAAGGAACACTAGTTGCTACGACGGTTAAGCCTCCTACGTAATATCAATGAAAAATGATTACCAAAAGGCATTGTAATAATGACAAAGACAACATTTTAAACTGAAATAAGCTATATTGATGTGATCAATAAAGATCCTATTACTATTTGAATCTCATATATATGTATGTAGTTTTATTAAGGCAGTTAATCTTGCATATCATACCAACTCTAACATTTCAATAATAATTTCATTATTATCATTAACACTTTTATTCATAAACTGAAATAACTCTAAATTACAATTCTGTGGCGAATATCATTTAAAATTTGACTTGTTTAGATTGATGACTTCAAAAAATCATAAAAAAATAAATAGGTGCTTTAGATCAATTACAAAAATCTCGTTCCAAAAGTTGAAAGTTATAGAATTTTTTGTTGTTTATGTACTAATAGACCCATCGGAATCCTTTTATTGTTAAAATAATTATTTTATTGAAAACCTGAAGTTTTATGATTTTATAATGTTAGCAGGTATATAAGGAATAGAAATTCATAAAATGACCTGATCATGAATGATGATGATTTACGATTTTTTAACATATCTATGACTAAATTTTATAAAATATATCAACTTAATTTTTTTAAATATATTTTTAACTAATGAATAAACAAGATTAGATTACGAATGATTTTCATTTCTTTCTGTAATTGCCCTAAAATCATTTTTTTCAGAAAAATCAATAAAATTAACTCCAAAAACTAATAAAATATCGATAATTTCGAAAAAATTATAACGAATAGTATGTGTATATATATATATATAATTATACACATACTATTCGTAATAATTTTCATAAAATTATAACGAATATAAAATTAAAAATATAAATTTTACAAAAATAAAAGTATTTTTATTGCTCCTTCTAAACGGTAATAGTCCAGCAATTAGCAAAAGAAATCGCGTGACCGGTGGTGGGCGAGGGGTGGAGGGCGAGGGGTGGAGGGGTGTAGGAAGTGGTCCTTACTCATTCAAACTTGGCCAGATATAATGATGATGATGAAAAATATTTTTATTTTTGTATGAAAATGAAAATTTAAGAAATATTTTTTTTTTCTTGTTACAGAGGTTGTTGTTATGATGTAAATAGTATATTCCCAAAAGGTCTTCAGTAAATTAAAAATGACCCTGTATATATATATATATTTTCAGTTTTGTATTTATTCTCAGAAATGAGATATTTTCCCGCGGTAATGCTATAATATGTTGATCCGGATAACCAGCTACCACCATACCAAATTTCATCAAAATCCCTCCAGTGGTTTTTCTGTGACGTGGTAACAGACAGACAGACATACAGACAGATTCGGCCTCTGTATCGATAATAATGTTTATTTCAATAATATTTTCCAAAAAATATTTAATGTACAGATACGGCTTAGTTACAATCTATACATACGAGTATAATAAAATTCTAAACTTTGGATTGAATCCTTTCAGTATCGATCGATATATCGATATTACCTTCTCCTCCCTAGGAGATAATAATATCGATAGCACCTTCAACATCACTACAGTCTAAAATATGCCCCTGCCCCCGACCCGTATGGTGCGATAGAGAGAGTTGCAAGTCTTAGACTCAATTACCTACATTTCCTTTTTGAAATATTGTTTCGGGCGATAACGTTTTCACCCCCCTAAACATTAACGAAATGAGACGATTTTGGTCTCATTAGATTTAGTACACCTTAATCTAGGTCTGTACGTTTTCCTTTTTTTGTAATTCAGTTTAGTTTAATTTAAACAAATAAAAACGCTGGAGGAAGTTTTTAGGTCAAAAATATAGATATTTAGATGCTAATAACTTCTGTCGTACACAATATTTTAAAAAAATAAAAACGTACGGACCTAGATTTTGATTATATCTACAACATTTCCAAAAATTATGAAAATTAGACTATGTTTAAGGGGGGAAAAACGTTATCGCTTTTTGTATGAAAATTTACAGGTTCACAATCCTCTTAATGCTGCTTACTAAATTGTTTAATTGAATTAAAATTACCAAACGGAATTGCATTTATTTCAATACAGGATGAACACACCCCTACCGCTGATGCTTTGTTGCTTAAAATGCAAGCAGACTTATCAATAACTCTATGAATCCAGCTTCTAAATGAAAATGTTCATACTTAATATTATAAATGTGAAAGTGTGTTTGTTTGTCCTTCTTTAACATCAAAACAGAATGACGAATTGGGGTGATTTTTAGTGAGTTTCTTCAAAACGTACCTAGAGACGAACCCGAGCGAAGCGAGGGTAAGCCGCTAGTATAATATAAACATATGTATAATACGTGAATATTATTACTATACTCCAGGAAAACAAAAACAAACCTTTCCCACGAGAACCATACAGTTTTCCGGGATAAAATGTGTTATTCCAGACTATAATCTATCTTTGTGCCAAATTTCATCCAGATCCGTTCAGCCGTTCTGGCGTGAAAGAGTAACAAACATCCATACAAACTCACAAACTTTCACATTTATAATATTAGTATACTTAGATAATACGAATAGCATTTATTCAAATAAAAATAAATTAGGTGTGTAATGATTTTAGGATAAACCAAATTAATATGGTAAACGATTCTACAATAAACCGGAAAAATAGTGTTTTCGAAACACGTGCATACATAGTCGTTTGTTGTATGCTTAAACTACAAATAAAACGCACGTTCCACGAGACCCGAATACTAAGTTAACTTCTGATCTTTGTCATTTTAAGGAAGTCTTGAAACTTTAAAAATATTTTAAATATTCATGAAACACATACTTTGTGTTTACATTATTTAAACAAAGAAATAATAATAATATGTAAGATTAGGTAACTACCACGATCTCAATATAATATCTAGGTTTCCTTATCAAATCAATGTTGGCCACGTCTTTTATTGTATTGATATAGAGAATTGTAATTTGCCTTCAAGTAAATATTAGATTCATACAATCTAAACGATATATAATATATATTTATATTACAAAAGAATTAATTAAACAAAATACATAACTATTACAAAATGTAACAAAAAAAGTATTTCCAAATGTCTCTACAAATAGTGAGTCATTTTCTTTTGTTTGCAAATTTGATATATGAATGTATGTATAATACGTTATTCGTGCATAATAAATACATTGTTAATTGAATATCAGGGGCAAGTACTTTGTCGCATACGGCAGACAGCGACCTATATGCGATGAGCTGATTAAAAGTATCGTTGCCTACGTTGACCGCTTATCTGTACAATTTACGCAATAACAGTCAGACAGTCTTGCTATACAGGTTGGGTTTTATCAACTAAGCATTGATAGCGAAATTCTAAAAGTTATCAAAAATATCCAGTGTCGTATTATCGATATTAACAAATTTTAAAATGAAGTCTTTAGAAAAACAAATTTTCTTAAACGCAAAACAAACAATTGTTATATAATATGTAAAATATACGTGGTGTTATTGAACGGATCGTAAATATCGCATGTAAAAAAAAACTTCGAAAAGTAATGCAACACAAAACAAATAATATAATGTACAACAAAAAACAAATTTTACCGTTTTAGTTTTCATCCTGTATAACTCTGTAAGTTTAAACGACGATAATTTCTGCTTTTACTGTTTATTTACTTACTTTTATCACTATACGAGTATAAAGTTTGCAAAAGGTCATGTTATCGTTTTTTTTTTTCAATTATTTATCCGGTGTTTACTTATAGGCTTTAAAATGAACTTGTTACTTTTGTGAACATAATGACATCGAAACAAAACAATAATTATTTACTTTGAAAACATCTAAAGCCGTACCACCAAAACGTAATTTTCAAGTACAAAATTGATTCGACTATGTTATATGAAAGATAGCATTTGTATATAGATACATATGAGTATCACTTTGTTTACAAGAAATTGATAAGACAGGAAACTGACGCAATTTCCTCATAACAGTTTATATTTAGAAATGATTTTACAGAAAATGAAAACGTAGATCAAGAGCGGCGGATTATACAAGTCACTGTGGATTCCCTGAACGCGGCAACTTGCCAATGTACAATAATGTAAATACAAACAGAATTAAAGATTCATGCAAATACAACTACTATTTTTTTACTCATATACCTATATATGTACATATTTGAATATATTGAATTTTGACCGATTGAGTTAGTATAAGTATATGTAAA